GCACTAGTTCTTTTGCTTTCCTAAGCCATGTTTGTAATATGTGGAAACGACAGAATAGTAGAAGAGCATTGTTTTCGGGGAATGCAACCTTGTAGTCGTTATAGAAAGACAGCGCTTCGTCAGATAGGAATTCTTTTGGCTTGAACTCGGGAAATATTTTTTTGATCTTTTCGAATAGTATCTTGACTTCATCGGCGCCCATTGTGTTTGGAAGAAGGAATGGTGAACAAAGACTATTGCTTTAGGCTTTTTTGTGACCGTAAAAAGTTCATCCGCTGGTAATCCTCGATCCTTTTTATCTGCTACCATGAGAGCTGCTAATCGAAAGTTATATTGTGTAATATTAAAGGTATCATCTATGGCAACTCCTCTAAGTGAATATTTCCTTATCCATTCCTCCCGTCGGTGTTATTATGACTAAAACTGGGTTATGGTGGAGAAATATATGGTTTCTTTAGCAAACCTGCCAAAAATTTTCCGCCGCTCTTGTCCTGCGCTAGATTTAGAACTCGAATACCATCGGAGGAATTTTGTTGTTCTGATCTTATCTTGATAGAAGTCATATCATCATTATCGCGGAATCCAGGGCGCAGCTTGTATTTTACGACAAGATTCCTAAAGAAGTCAGATGTAAGCATCTTGTAGATAGTAGGTAAAGATTTCGTTCACGCCATAAATTAGGCTTTTTGATAAAATAGAGTTTTGAAACGTCAGAACTGTTCACCTCCCGCATTTTTATTATTATTATGTAGTCAAAAGTGTATTCTAAAATATATTTTTTAGATCGGAAAAAATCTCCCAAACAGATACTCCTCTTCTTTGCTTGTCCACTTCAGCAGTGCTGGATTTATCGCATGCCCGATATGTCCAAAGCAAGCCTAACAGCAACACTACCGTTTTTGTTGAAGTTGACGTTCATAAATGCAGAGCAGTTTTTGATTTATTTCTTCGATACGCGCATTCTCTCCTGTTTACCCCTTGTATGGAACTCCCCTGCTCTGTTGCATCTGAAAGATGCTGCGCTATCATATTCATTTATGTGGTGAAAAAGCGAAACTCAGAAATAGACGATTTTTTGATCGCGACCGGCTATAGAATGAAGTCAGAGATCTGTTGCACATGTCTTCCCGCCACCTCTCAAAACGACTAAAGTGACATCAATTACGTCGAATCTTATTCAGCAAAAGTTACCTCAGACGTTTTCTTGCTTTCGAGTGTTTCATTCAGC